GTGGGTGAGCTGGTGAAATAAATTTTATAATTATTTTAATAGAAAAAATAAATTATTCTAGTACCTATAATCAAAATTACCATGGTCTCCGGGGTAAACCATGAGAAAACGGTTTCGTGAGTTGCATTATTATGATCATCATTATTTATGTTTGTACTATTATGACTACTAAATAGTTTTGTTTTATTATCAGTGTCACATTTTAATTTTGAAATATTACTAAAAATTATAATTACTAACATAATAAATATTTTATTTGCATTTAAATACATAACAATAATTATATAAATATAAATAATTATGGCAGTAAACTACAAAACATGAAAACAATTAAAACTTGTTTTTCATTCAATAGTAAAGTTAAACAAACTTCAAGTCTCTGTATAAATGATAAGATAGTAGACGTGTATTATGTGGTCATATAGTTATGTAATGTATTACTCGTTGGATTACAATGAGATCAATTCAGACATTTATTTATTGTTTGAAATATATGGTATAAGCAATGTTATTTTCATAAATAAATTTATTATTTTATGTAAAATATAACATGAATACAAATTATAAGTAATAAAGTAAACAAATAAATTAGCTAAAGGTTTAAGTTAATTAATTACTATTTCTTTATTAAAAATGTAAATAAAAACTGTAAATTGTATTTAACTTAATGACAAATGTCATTTATGTATATAAATTGTATTATTTATGGGAACAAAATGACATTAGTAAGTTTTTATTTTTTTTAATTTTCAACATACAAAATACATAAAAAATAAAATATTAAATAAAATCTCAACTCAACAATATTTAACTAGCACAATCTCTACTGTATACCACACCCAACAAACACTTACCCGGGCAAGCATGTCGTTGGTAGGCATATATCTAATCAATTTATCAAAATATTTCATCCCTTTTAATAATAAGATAATAACAAATCCACTCAAATAACAAATATAATAATTTCTATTAAATATGACAATAAATGTATGGGAAAATACAGTACCACTATTTGCTAGCACACATTGTACTGTATTTACAAAAATCCCTTTTATATTAAATCGTTTATCATTATAACCACATTCGTGACAATTTACCCTACTCATAAATTACTAAAACATTTACATTGCTAGCTATTATATTAATGCACCATAAAGTACAGCTATTTTACGTTTATAGTATAATAATAAATATAATATCGGTACTAGTATTAAATTATAATTTTTAAATAAATAGCATGCATATTATTTTTAGCACTATGGATTTTTGATAACTCATTATTAATATCGAGAGTAGACTGTATTCACATAGAAATAATGATAAAATGCCAGCAAAAATCTCTTATCATAACATGAAATAAAATAAAAATATTAAATACTTTTATTAATACTTTTTTCTCCTAATATTTAAACACAGAAATCGCGATAAAAACCTAAAATACACAACACTTTTGGCTGTCGTCTGTGCACTTCAATGACAGTCACATAAAACACTAGTGTTTTGTACAGTATTTCCACATTTATATTGAAAACCCATTTATTTAATTGAAATATGAGTTAACAGTATATTATATATGATATTTGAAACACCTTTGCGATTGTGTGCCGTATTTCATAATAAGTCTCAATATATATATTTTTATTATCTATTATATTAAGGCAGTTATGTGTTATATAACACATATCTAATGTTAATATTGTTTTTTTAATTGCAAAGTTTTTAGTTACAAATATATTTTGTTTATTATATTTTAATTTTTAAATTGTTTGTGTCTAATAAATTTAAATAAATAGTTTATTATAAGAAAGGTGTTTGGATTTATAACCTGGTGTGATTAGTTTTTTGGAGCAAGTAAGTTTACTTTTATTTATTAAATATTTATTCAGGGATTAGAAACTGGTACACGTTTACAGTATTTTATTATAAATGATTGGCATGTTTGTGTAATTTATATAAAATTTATGTTGCACATTTTATTTCATTTTGTAAAATTGCAAACATATAAGTTTCTATTATTTATATAAATTTAATTTTTAATTTATAAAAATGATATTTTATTTTAATATAATATTTAATATATCATTAATTTTTGTAAAATTATTTAAATCTTTATGATTATATTTAGTTTCATATGCATAAATTATGCAGCATAATATGCATAATAAATATTATTTAAATTTTTGATATTTAAATTAATTTCAAGTAAATAAATAAATTATATAAAATGAACTTGAACCAATTTACACAAATTATTATTTCACGTTTGCTACACATGAACTAGTACTGTGTATTGCTATGGGCATAAATAGCTATGTGTGCAAAAATGTCAAAAAATAACATTTAACAGAAATAAGATAAAAGTTTAATATTTAATTATAAATAATATACAGTAAAATAAAAAATAAAACTTTCCCTTATATAAAATACAGTATAATACAAATAAACAATAAATGTGTACTGCACAATATTATGCTAAAATTATTAATATGGTTGAGGTTAATGATTATTGTTACAAATAATTATTATAATCAATAGATTCTAATATAACATAAAATGTTGGTTAAATACAAAATTAATATTTATTTTCAAATTAAATTGTCCGCGATGATAGAAATTTTAAAAATTAAACCTAAATTTAAACTATACTAATAATCAACCAAATATAAGAATAAATAATAATTATTAAATTCAAATCAATATTTTTGAATGTATTATTAATAGTTAAACTAATTAATAATTGTTGTTAATTAAAATATATTAATATTAATAGATTTTTTAAAGTTGTAATGATGGCCGTGTGGTCAAACATTTTTAATTATAAAAATATATAAATCAAAATTTTTCTAGCTGAAATTTATTTTAAAAATTAACATTAAATTTTAATTAACTCCAGTGTTTCATAAAATTATTTTCGCACGATTATTCTAAAACTAATTTTTTTGTAACATTAATATCAATATTATCTAAAATGTGCATGAACATAATTATTGGTCATCCAAGTAGTGCCGTTAACTAAAAGTTTCATAAAAGTTATTAATAAAAATAAATATTTTTGTAGGTATGGGCGCCTGTGCGGGCAAACACCAACACCTCAAGCGTGAGGCGCACGACAAGTACCTCCCGGTGCCCATCAAAAACCACAACAACAACACCAATGACTTGATCGTTAAGTTTCGCGAATCGCAAAACTTGGACAACAAAAACATCCCAAGAATATACCGCTTATCATACCTGAGCCGTGACTTTGATCCCCGATCCTTTGACTTTAGCGATGAACTATGCGTTCATATCCTAAGCTACCTGTCCCTTGAGGATCGCCTGCGCCTGGAGTCCGTATGCCAACAGTGGCAGCGATTAATCTACCGGAGCGTGCGTACCCTTGACTATCCCCTCCCGAGTAGGCTATACTCGCATTTAGATGGGAACTACATGTCGGACAAGCACTGGCTATACGTGTCGAGACAGGTGCTCCGAAAGTGTCACTTTTTGACCAAGGTTAGGTTGTTGGATACGTGCGATACAGATGTGCTTGCTGTTTTGGCTAAGAATTGTCACTGGTTAGAGTCGATTGAGTGGAGGTTCCATAATTTGCTACCTGTGCGCCGGGAGGTGTTGAGTAAACTGTGCGATAATTGTGGTAATAGTTTGACTTGTATCAAGGTAAAAGAACTGGATGAACAGGCGTTTAATTCAGGTATGTGTTGCTTGGTAATTTATGTATATAGTTTACTTTTATTAAAGTTATAAAATATTGTCCAATGTCAATATTAATTTTATTACTTTTAAAACTACTTTTAAAATATTAATTTTGATCATTAAATATCATAGGAAACTGTAACTATGTCTAATTATTGCGACTTTATATTACTTATAAAATAAAATAATACTAAATTGGGTTTTTAAATCTAAATTATTTTTTAATTTAGTTTATTATGTTTGTATAATGGTAAAGTAATTCAAAAATTTAGAAAGTTAGGCAACACAATAAAATATAATTTTATTTTATTAATATTTACCTAGTTTACAAACATACATACATTGTAAACAATTATATTAAAATTATACTGTAATTAAACTGTAATTAATTTGAAATATATTAAAAATACTTACTATCAATTATTATAACAAAATAATTTGGGTGATTACAGACATCTCGAATATCTTAACAAGCATAAATAAAATATAATGTTTAAATAATTTATTTTTAATTATGAAACAAACACATTAAGTAAAATTTATTTTAAATAACTACACTATAATACAGTATTAAATAAGTATTAATACAAAACAATTAAATATTTATTATTCTTATATCCAGAGTCGGGTCTATCGGTGCTCATCGTCTACAGTGAATACCTGCTAAACATCCGCACCGTTAGTGTTGCCATCGATTCCGATAAATGTCTCAAATATTTCCAACTCTTCGCCGACATCTATAACCAAAGGATAACATCACTGGAAATACGGCTCAAATTCAGCACATTTTACACACAACTGGAGGACACCTTTGCATCCATAGCACAGTTCCTAAACCTTCAGTCCCTCACCATAACCCTGGAGTCGGAGTACCCCCTGGACATGGAGCTCAGCGCAGGGGCCTCACTATTAGCTCATTGCTGTCCAAACCTAACGGCTCTGACCCTTGAACTCCGGGATCACATACGATGCACATCCGGGTCGGTACTGGAAAGCCTACAGCCGTTTCGATCCCTAACCTCCCTGTCCGTTCGGATCCGCTCCCCAGACATTGAATTGGGTTCAC